GCTCCACCACGCTCAGCTAATTTTTGCATTTTTTGTGCAGATGCGGTTTCCCTCAGGCTGGTCTCGAACTCCTGGACTCAAGCAATCCACCCGTCTCGGCCTCCCAAAGTGCTGGGATTAAGGAGGAGACATTCATTATGTGATTAGGAGTGAGGACCCTAGAGGCCTGAGACCTGGATTCCAAGCCCAACTGGGCTCCTTCCTAGCAGTGTGACCTTGGCTCAGTCACTTCATTTCTGGAACCTCAGTGCCCCCATCTAAAAACGCATAACAAGCCCTACCTGACAGGTTGTCCTGGGGATTAAATGAGATGATGCATATAGAGCTTTCAGCTTAGTGCCAGCACATAGTAGGTATTCAATAAACCACTAGCCCTAATAATAGGTAACATTTATTGAGCACTTGCTTAATGCCAGACATTATCAGCGTCTTTTTCACCATTTGCATTAGCAAACTTCCCTGTACCACTTCCTGAGCAAGCAGCCATTGCCTCATATTCCCACAGTGGAAGTAGAGGCCTAGAGACGGGAAGTGACTTGCCCAAGGTCACACAGGCAGCTTCTCAATGCCTGTGTGGTTTTGTCCAGCTAAGTAGGCTGCAGAGCCACCGTTCTGTTCCAGTCTGTCAGAGAACCACCCTCCTCGTCCCCTCCCTTCCCCATTACTCTCCAGCGCCAGCAGCTTCTTGGAGCTTCATGCTTTCTGAATGGCTTGGTTTAGCACTCGGCCGTTAAACGTTCATCTCTTACAATTTCAATCCAATTCCTATAAGTTTATTGGCAAGACGGGGTGTATTAGAGCTGCCAAATTTAATATATCAAGTGTGCGTGTCTGGGACACGGTCTCTCTGCAGTAATGGGAGAAGAGAGGTTTTGTATGTTTTCATTTTGAATGACTGGCTATTCCTGATCCCATTACAGCCCCTGACTTAATGGTTGCTGTCCCTGTCTGCTGCAAGAGTGGCTTTCTCCATCAACCTGCTTGGCTGCTGGGACTGTCTCTGCGTTTCTCCGCAGTCTCCTCCTCCTGAGCTGTGTTCCCCCATCAGTCCACTGTGGTGATCAGGTCCTGGGAGTCTGGGGCTTTGGCTGCTAGCCCCGATAGCTACCTTGTGACCTGGGGGAGATCATTTCTCTTCCTCACCTGGGCCTCAGGAACCTGTTCTGTGAAGTGAGGGGTCTGACCACAGGGTGAGCAGTTGGTCTGGGCTCAGCCTTGGCAGATCCCCCTTGGCGGCCCCAAGTGGACCCGTCTGTCCTCCTGTCTTGCGGCACCAAACTCACGGACCCAAGGGCTGGCCGCGAGAGTCATTGAATTGCCACCCACCTCGGGCTGCAGATCTCCTGGGTCAGGAGTGGTGGCTGTGATCACCACGGCTGAGGGGTCTTAAGACTCCAAAATGTTTTCATTTCCCTCTGTGACTGGATTCGGATCTGCCACCTGATAATTTAGTGATCTCCTTGGGAAGCTGTCAGCATTCACTGCCTGAGCCCTCTGGCTTCTCTAAGCCTTGAACTGGCTGTGGAAGAGAGGACACCCAGCAGTGTGACGTTAGGAGACTTGGTTTGCCTTCTGCTTATCAGGAGGAATCACACCGCCTCCCTGAACCTCAGTTTTCCCAAAGGGAAAACGGGAATTGATTCATTTAACAAGTACTTCAATGCCTAGTCTGTAGTGTGCACTATTTTAGGTGCTGGGGCTCCAGCAGTAAACAAAACACAAACCTGCCCTCATGGGTTTATATTCTTACTGGGGGAGAAAGACAATAAACATAACAAGTAACTTATTGCATGAAGGGTGTATTAGTCCCTTCCCACATTGCTATAAGGAAATACCGGAGACTAGGTAATTTACAAAGGAAAGAGGTTTAAGTGACTCACAGTTCCGCATGGCTGGGAAGGCCTCAGGAAACTTATAATCATGGCAGGAGGGAAAGGGGAGACGGGCACCTTCTTCACAAGGCAGCAGGAGAGAGGAGTGCTGAGCAAAGCGGGAAGAGCCCCTTATAAAAGCAGCAGATCCTGTGAGAACTCTTCACTGTCACGAGAACAGCATGGGGGAAACCACCCCCATGTCAGTTACCTCCACCTGGTCTCTCCCTTGACACGTGGGGATTATTGGGATTACAATTCAAGATGAGATTTGGGTGGGGATACAAAGCCTAACGGTATCAAAGGGTGATACAGGCTATGAGGGAAAATAAAGCAGAGAGTGGAGGAAGTTAAGTGGAAGATTCTGCCATCTTGAATGAAGTAGCATTGGAGGAAAGATGGAAGGGGTCA